CAAATCTTTATAAGATGGCGCCTCCATAACCACAAATCTTGGTATAGTCAAAAAAATATGTGATGGTATCACCCAGATTGGAAGTTTAACATCAAACTTAAAAAAATACTTTTGCCAAACTCTTAACAATGCAGCCCTTATTATATGATTTCTAAAAGTTTTGTCAATCTTTTTCTGCATAAAAAGATAAGCATGCCACCCAAAGTACAAGTCCCATCCTTCCAAGTTCAATATCCTCTTGTTAGATAAATTAATCCAATCCGTCATCCATGTTAATGCACAAGAATCATAGTAAAATATCAAATTTGGAGCTTTAAGTCCTCCACGTTCTCTAACATCTTGAATAATCTTAAATTTAACCCGTGCTTTCTTGCCTTCCCAAATAAAGCGATTCAAGTCTCTCTGCCATTCTTTCAAGTTAAGTTCATTTTTTAGAATAGATATCGTCTGGAATAAAAAAAGAAACTTAGGTAAAATGTTCATTTTGATGGCCGCAATACGACCCAGCAAGGAAAAATGAAGTTTTTCCCACATTGATAAGTCTTTTTGTACTGATTTCCACAATTTTTCATAACAAAAAAGATGTTGAAAGAGCAACAAAGATGATAGTCTGGAAAGTATATTATTATTATTGTTGTTGTTATTATTATTATTTAGCATAATTATTATTTAGCATTTGTATATCAGTGATTGCATGACCTCTGTAGATGCCATGTAGATATGCTAAATAATAATAATAATAATAATAATAATAATAATAATAATAATAATAATAGTAATAATAATAGTCATACCTTTTTTAAAATCCAAGCAATGGTCAAATGGTTAAGATTTTATATACATATTCACCATTTCAGCATTACATGGATTAATATACATATACATTATTACACACACTTTCTAAGCAAATAAATACATCATAAAATTCAAAGAGATGCAAATTCATTTAAAAAATGGAATCCAGCCACGTATTAATTTATTAATAAAATTATGTTAAGATAGCCTAAAAGAAAAGTCAGTAATGTAATTTTCAGTCATGCCTGCATAATATTGTTGAAATAATGTATCCAAGGACACAGAATCCTTGCTCTCCTTTGATCTCTCACTCTTTCTTTATCAGCAAATTCATTTAAGGTACAACCAATGACACAGTTTCCCATGGTTACAAAGTGTTGAGACCAAGGATTGCATAGAATATTACAAATTAACATAAAGACACTGCTAATTGATTACTCATTTACTGAGACCTGGCTACTTGGATAGGTGAGTGAATAAAATATAAGATTGTGCCTAATAATACAGTATCAGCGACCCTAAATAAGCAGAAAAAAGCCCCTTCTGAATCATCCAGTTCTGTCTTCTGAAGAGACAAAATGTGAAAGACATAATAACAAATGCAACACCAAGGTTAGATTGAATAACGTCATTTCATCATATCTCCATCCTGATCCAACATTTCAGCAATTGTTATGAAATTTTAGTTTGTTTCACACAGAATTAATTATTGCTTTTTCCTATTACGGAAAATCATAATAAATGTTGGAATTATATCTTTTTAAATTCATTTATTTATTTATTACATTGATTTGCCATTTATCTCGCTGCAAGGAGACTCTTTTTATATAATATAAAAACTTTTTAATTTTGTGTTGAATTGTCTGTACTGATACAGACAGTTCTGTATAGATAGATTGGAAACTCATGTAATTTGCAGACGACATCAAGCTGGCTGGAAAGCCAACACTCCAGAAGATAGTAGTAGTAGTAGTAGTAGTAGTAGTAGTAGTAGTAGTAGTAGTAGTAATAATAATAATAATAATAATAATAATAATAATAATAATAATAATAATAATAATAATAATAATAATAATAATAATGTTGGAAGGGACCTTGGAGGTCATCAAGTGCAACCCCCTGCTCAGGCAGGTAACCCTAAGATAGGCTTAAGATACAGAAGGATCTGGACGGACTTTAACATTGGGCGCAATCTAACAAAATGAAATGCAATGTTGTAAAAAGCAAGATTCTTAGGCAAGAAAAAACAAACGCACAGGTGTTATATAGGGTGGTACCTGGCTCAAAAGTAGCAACTGTGAGAGGGATCTCGGAGTCCTAGTGGACAATCATTTAAATATGAGCCAGCAGTGTGCTGCAGCCACCAAAAAAGCCAACACAATGCTGGGCTGCATTAACAGAGGGATAGAATCAAGATCACGTGAAGTGTTAATACCACTTTATGCCTTGGTAAGGCCACACTTGGAATACTGCATCCAGTTTTGGTCACCACGATGTAAAAAAAGATGTTGAGACTCTAGAAAGAGTGCAGAGAAAAGAAAGAGGGGACTGGAGAAGGAGGATAAAACCTACAAAGAACGGCTCCAGGAATTGTGCATGTCTAGTTTAATGAAAAGGACTAATGGTGACATGATAGCAATCTTCCAATATCTCAGGAGTTGCCACAAAGAAGAGGGAGTCAAGCCATTCTCCAAAGCACCTGAAGGCAGGAAACTGATCAAAGAGAGAAGCAACCTGGAATTAAGGAGAAACTTCCTGACAGTGAGAACAATCAATCAGTGGAACAGCTTGCCTCCAGAAATCGTGGGCACTCCATCACTGGAGATTTTTAAGAAGAGGCTAGACATTCACCTGTCTGAGACAGTATAGGTTCTCCTGCTTGAGCAGGGGGCTGGACTAGAAGATCTCCAAGTTCCCTTCCAACTTTATTCTTTTCTAATCAAGGAGAGAAACAACCCAAAACTAAGGAGAAATTTCCTGACAGTTAGAACAATCAATCAGTGGAACGTCTTACCTCCAAAAGTTGTGGGTGCTCCAACACTGGAAGTTTTTTAAGAAGAGATTGGATGGCCGTTTTTCTGAAATGATATAGGGTTTCCTACTTGAGCAAGAGGTTGGACTAGAAGATCTCCAGGGTCCCTTCCAACTCTGTTATTTTGTTATTCTGATAACTTTTCTGTTTCTCTTGAAACCAGTTTGCATGCAGAAATCAAACACTGATCTAAACACTAAACCTCTATTATACAGGGCTACAGGTAGGTCCTCAACTTACAACTGGCTGCTTAGCCAGCAAAGTTATAACAGCCCCCCAAAAGTGGACATGACTCAGATTTGGAACCCCTCTGTGGTTACATGATCACATTTTGGGCACTCAGCAACTTGACTACATTTTCAGCTGTTTGCAGCATCCTGCAATCATGTGACTGCATTTTACAATGATTTTACCCCAAGCCGGCACTTACTTTCAGTTTTTGACAAAATTGAGTCCTTAACGAACCATTGCTTCATTTAATGACCACCATGTTCACTTAACAACCACCATAAAAGTGTCATAGACTTTTATGACCATCATGACATACAACCATAATGGGCAGGCTCCTTAATGGTCAGATGTCATG